AGTGTTTTTTGTAATGGAAATCCCTCTTTTTAAGCCCGGATACGCACATAGCGCGAAATCCGACGTTTGGATAAGGTATTGTGTTGAGTTTCGCGCTATGTGCGAATCCGGGGTCAAAAAGAGGGGTTTCCATTACAAAAAACACTTCGACCTTGAAATGACCTTCAAAATGAGGTTAAAGGTCAAAGGTTTTTGGTGCATTGGGTGGCCCACTCTATTCTGAACAAATTTTGTAGAGGTCATTTTTCGATATCTTAAAAATTAAAAAAACGCTTTTAGGCAGTTTTTCAAGCATTTGACCTTAAATCGACCTTCTCTAGGCCATGAAAAAAAATTTAAAAATACCGTTTTGGACGTAAAATTTCCCGCTCTTTCCGAATCCGGGGTCAAAAATGGGGGTTCCTATTTAAAAAAACAAAGTTGACCTTGAAATGACCTTGAACATGACCTCCAAGGTCAAATCCAAGGTCATAGAAACATGGCCCCCTCAAAGTTGAGTAACTTTTGTCTGAAACTTTTTTCGATAAAACTCACTCCAATCTAGATATCTGAGTGGATCACTTAAAATGGGCCACCCTGTATATATATATATATATATATATATAAAATTTTGTTTATCATTTCTAGACAAATGATATATTGATATATAATATTTTCTGTGGTTTAGTTTTAATTAACTTTGTTTATTTATTTGAGTTTTTCTTATTTGTTATAAATATTTGTTGAGGGAGAAAATGGAAAAAGCTTGTAAAATAGAAAGTAGGAGATTTGACTTGTTTTATTTACCAATCGTTAATTGTTACTTCTCCATTAGATGGCGTGCGGGAGTACAGCTACATGCCAGAGTTCTAATTACCGAAACTTTTGTTTAGAGGGGATAGGGCTGCTTCGTTTCTTGTATATAGTCTCCATGGTATCTCGTATTCATTATGAAACTTACCACTGAGCTCGAAGTTATAGAGATCGCATGTGTATACAAAAACTCGGACGGGTACGGTCTCAGGGTCAGAAAGGCCCCTGTCACATAGGTACATACGGATGTGGACGGATACGGACGCGAATCGCAACTCTAGTAACATCATTAAAAATATCTAGTTTGATTATTTGGTACCAACACTACCGGTAGTGAGCAAAAGTGACTGTTGTTTAAAACTGTAGTGCCGAACGTACCACATTTAATAAACGCCTATCTAACCTTTACATTATTGCAGTCTATAACCCGATTAGCACAAAACGTTTTAAAAACGTCTTAAAAACGTTTTCTGGTAAACTTTTAAACGTTGATGACTTTTAGTGAAAAAAACGTTTTTAAAACGTAATATATGTCCACGAGTAATACGTTTTGAAAACGCTTCAAAAACGTTTTAAAAATGTTTTTCATAAAAATTTATACAACAGGTCGGTATCACAATACATTTTAAAAACGATTTAAAAACGTTGTTAAACGTTTACAAAACGTTTTAAAACAGGTGGCACAACGTTTTATCGAAAATTTTCTATAATAGGCTGGTATCAGAATACGTTTTAAAAACGTTTTGAAAACGTTTTAAAAATTTTTTTCAGAAAAATATATACAATAGTATGGTATTAAAATACGTTTTGAAAACAATTTAAAAACGTTATTAAACTGTTTTTCAGAAAAATTTATACAGTAGGCTGGTACCAAAACGTTTTCAAAACGTATTGTGATACTGGTCTACTGTATAAATTGTTATAAAAAACGTTTTTAAAACGTTTGTAAAACGTATTCAAAATGTATTACTCGCGGACATATATTACGTTTTAAAAATGTTTTAATAACATTTTTTCCGCTAAAAGTCATCAACGTTTGAAAGTTTTACAAAAAATATTTTTGAAACGTTTTTAAAACGTTTTTGTGTTATTGGGGAAGATGGTAAATGATAGAGAATTGATAGTCTTTCAACTACCATTAGTGGAATTAGGTCTTAATTTTATGGAAGTACCTGAATATACGAGAAGAAGAAGAAAAAATATATAAATGATATGTATTAATCACCCCAAAAACTTTTTTTACATTATAATACTCATCAATAAACAATATTCATGAGAATTTGAAAAGTAAATTGTAGACCTGACATTTGAACATTAAATGTGGTACGTTCGGCGCTACAGTTTTAAACAACAGTCACTTTTGCTCACTACCCTGCTATAAAAGTTCCATTGAAAACCATTGAAGAATTTCTGAATGGTTTTCAATCTTCGATCTGAACACTCCAAATGACCATTGAATATGATTCCTCATCCAACAAGAAATGTCAAGATATTAAATACTATTGGTTCCAATAATATAGATTACTATTGATTCCTAATCGAGATTAATCATTATCAATAGAAAAATATACTATTAAAGTAATGGTTTTCAATAGGATTCAATGAAATTTCTCATGTATGTTACCCAATCGATTTCAATGGTAAAATTCGTGGTCAAATCGAAGATTTGAAACCATTCGAATGCGATAATCAATTTGATTGAATTGATATCAATGGTTTGTTATTGCAACATTCAAGTCTCGTATCGTTGAATAATTTTCAATAGTTTTGAATATGAAAGTCCTAACATTTTAATAATATGCAATAGAAAATATCAATCTAATTGAATGGGTATTAATGGTCTTTTATCGCATGATCAACTTTTTTTCTGACGTTGAATAATTTTGAATAGTTTTTAATGTGAAGATCACATCAATCCAATATTATGCAATAACAGAAATTAATCTCATTGAATAGGTATGAATAGTTTGTTATTGCTTAATCAAGGATTTTTGTGGCGTTGAATAATTATCAATAGTTTTGAAGGAGTGACTCATATCCGAAAAATTCAAAGCGAAAACGAGATTGATCTCATCAAACCCATTGGTGAAATAGATTGCAAAATAATTTTGGTAGACGTTAGAAATGCTAGATATTTATGCAAAATGCCCAATTCATTTGAAATCCAATAATAATGTTCATGTCAATTTTTGTAATTTGTTGATGTACATAAAAAACCATTTATTTACAATTGAAAAAAAATCGAATACCCATTAAAAATTATATTCGAATATGTTTTTACTTAAAAACTATTAAAATTGATAAAAGTCTATTCAATCAAATCATATACGGAGTTTTTTCATTCATGACCTATATAAAATTATAATATCCAAAGCATAAGATACGATTCTTCAATTATAGTATCGAACAACTATTCAAATTTATAAAAAATCATTCAATTATGGAAATTTTTTCTTTCATCATCTAATGAAAAATTATAGAATAAAATTATATTTGATAAGTTTGTAGAATGAAGGATTATTCAAAAATATACAAACAACTTCTCAATAGAATACGATTGAGTTTTACTTGCATTTACCAATCATTAGATTTCATTAAAAAATATTCAATTGAAAATATTTGAAATTTTTTTGTTTGCCTTTCATAAGAAATTATAGAATACTATACCTCATTGAATGCGATTGGGTTATTTTTATATTGACCAATCATTAAGATTAAAAAAAAACTATTAAATGAAATATTGCTATAGTTACAGTATTGCTTTTGCTCATATTGGCATATATGGAAAACCATTCTATAAAATATTATTGACCAACCGTGTAATTGGATAAAAATTAATATCCATATAATATGATTCAATAAAATATGATTGGACAATTATTGTATCGAAAAATTATTAAAATTCATAGAAAGATATACAATAAAATATCATTGATTAATTATTTTATTGAACTGTGATTGATATTCATTCAATGCAATTGGATAGATTATCATTGAAACCATTCCTATACAAAGTATTATTCAGAAAGATTGAATTCTATTAAATTTAATGGTAAGTTTTACTATTAGTTATGCTTACCATGAAGTATTATTGAAAATCATTCAGTTTCAATCGTCATCGGAACATTGAACCATTCAGTTCATTGATTACCATTGAATATGAATGATCCCGAATAGGAATGAATGGAACTTTTTTAGCAGGGTACAGGAAGTGTTGGTACTAAATAATCGAACAAGATATTTTTAGTGATGTTATTAGAGTTGCGATTCGCGTCCGTGTTCGTCCGCATCCGTATGTACACCCAACGTGGATTGAATCGCGATCCCCCCAGTTAGGTTGGTATGAGACTATGAGTGCTACTTTCAGTCCGTAACGGTGGTTTTCAGATCGGCCATAGTATAACGCTCGTTCTTAAATTATATAATTAAAACCTAAAATCAAATAATCATGCATCTAAATTCATTGTTCGGCAAACAATTAATTTTAAACCTAAAAACAAATTAGTAACGTTTTAGCTTTTTATCGTATCTTAAAACGAATTTTCATTTTTGAATTTTCCCGCGGTTTCTTCGTTCAATGCAACGACGGAATTCTCATACCAACCTAACTGGGGGGGGGGCGCGATTCAATCCACGTTGGGTGTACCTATGTGACCGGGGCCAAAGGAAGAGGAATCCCGTGTGGACACTCCCCCAAGTATATGTAGTGAAGTCAACTGCATCAGATTAACTCCGGAAAATACTCAAAATGAAAAAAAAATTTTTTAATAGAGTCTAATTTGCTCGATTTACCTATGTTAGCGAAATAATTTGCTCTCATTATATTTTCCAATAGAAAAAAAATATGATAGTGTTTCTTTTTTACGCAAAAACTTTAAACGATGATATCTTGCCAAACTATCAATATTTGTTCAATCTTAAATTCTTGAAAAATTGCCTACTATTACAAGAAATTTTCCCTGTTATAATATATTTGAAAAGTACATTATTTTTTATAAAGAAATTTAAATAATATACATACACTAATCAGCAGCCGCAGCCAACTCTGCAAATTGACGCCTGCGCAGGATGACTGTTTGAATTACTTACGATACTAACTACATTATTTAAATTTATAAAAAATAATTTACTTTTCAAATATATCATAACGGGGCAAATTTCTTGTGATAGTGAGCAATTTTTCAAGATATGGGATTGAACAAATATTGATATTTGAACATAATATAATCGATTAAAGTTTGCCTAAAAACAATAATTTAATATTTTTTTGTTGAAAAAATTAATGTGAGCAAATTATTTCGCTAATATAGCTGAGTCGAGCAAATTTGACTCTATTAAAATTTTTTTTTAATTTATTTTGACTATTTTCCTGTGCTGATCTGTGGGTGGTCTCAACAGCACTCTAGGAGCTGAGGATTTCTTTTTTTTTCAAAATAAATAAACTATCGAAACCTCAGCGTGAACAGAATCAGAAGCATCCTTACAACGGTAGAAAGAAAACATTGTATCTGAGTGAATAGGAATAAATAAAACAAACGTTTATCATATCTTGTCAGGTCCAAATTTCGTTAAACGAACAAGTTTACATGTAGTTGTTGCTACAACCCTTCAAATTACACTCAGATATTAGCAATTACTGCATTATTTTTTTGAGATTGGAACAATTTCGTGACCAGTTAGAATAGACAGTTAGAATAAATTTAATAGTGAATATAAGTACATAAAACATTTGAAAGCAATAAGATATTCTATAACTAGCAGTATTAACATCGTCTCATTGTTACTTATTGTTAGTTTAATTTTACAATAGTATTTTTTACATCATTCATTTTCTTCTTAGAAAGCTACAGCAGATAAGACTTTTATTACCTGTTCTATACAGATGGCAGAAAGTCTTGATTTGAATTTTCCTGTTTGGGGTCTTCTTCCAAAAAAAGAGACAGGTGTAACCCAATTTCTTACTAAATATCCTTTCTATGATGGGAGGGGTACAATTATTGCTATTTTTGATTCTGGTGTTGATCCAGGAGCACCAGGCTTACAGGTAAAATTATTGTTTGTTTTTTTCGATCATTAATACTCTTTTATTCTATAAACCACCATTTTATTAATTAAAATATTAATGAATATGTAATTATTATGATTATCAATATTTTGTGTTTTTAAAAATGCTTGTGTATATAGATTACGTCAGAAGGAAAGCCCAAAATCATTGAGAGATTTGACTGTAGTGGTCATGGGGATGTTGATACCAGCAAAATTGTTAAAACTATTGATGGTTATTTAATCGGTATAACTGGACGACGCTTAAAGGTAAACATATTATTTAAAATAAATACAATATGATTTTCTCTTATTTGTAAATGTATGAAATGCAATTTAATTTATTAAGCTAATGATTTATATTAGATACCATCAATGTGGAATAATCCTTCAGGAGAATTTCATCTTGGAATTAAAAGTGCCTATTCTTTGTATCCTAATAAATTGCGAGAACGAATTGAAACAGCAAGAAAAAAAAAATTTTGGGATGAAGGACATAAAAAAGCTTTGGTTGAAGCAACAAGGGTTTTACAGGTAAATATTCAATGTCTCTAATTGATTAAATAATAATCGTTATTAGTTCAGTTAAAATAAGAAATTAGGTCACATTTCATCATAGCTTGCTTTTAGCTACATCTGTTTCTATATTTAAATTGGGTGCATTCTAATAGAACAAAGGCATTAACCCATTTATATGATGTGCCAATCTCAATTGTTTTCATGATGAAAACCTATATAAAGTTTGATTATTATTGATGAGTTTATTGTACTTTCATATATGCTTAGGAATTCGAAAGTAAAAATGGGCAAATATCAACTGTACAAGAGAAATTAATTAAAGAAGATCTTGAAGCACGTATTGAATATTTGACAAATTTAGAAAAAAAATATAAAGATCTTGGTCCTAGTTATGACTGCATTGTTTTTCATGATGGTAAAATGTGGAGGTAATTATAATTTATTTGATGTTATTGTAGCATTTAGTGTAAATATGCATCTATTATTTAAATTTCAACTATCCTTTTTTTGACATGTTTAATTAAATTTTACAACTGGTTTTTAAAATTCACTCATTCACATAGAGCCTGCATCGACACATCTGAACAAGGTGACTTGGCTTCTGGTGTATATCTTGGTGAATATACATTCACAAAAGAATATGCTCCACTCACAAAAGATGATCAGTTAAATATTTCTATAAATGTACATGACGATGGAAATATATTGGAAATAGTCAGTCTTTGCTGTAAGTAGTGGTATAATATATAAACTGGTTTTCAAAATTTGAAAAAAATTAATATATACATTTTTCTAATTTGAAGTAAATTTATTAATTTACTATACATTAATTACTATATCTGACTAATAAATATATTGGAGCTTTTTGACTAATATCAGATCACAAATTAATTTCTTCTAAATTGATAATACAATATTTAAAAAAATTTTAAATTACTGGAAAGCAAGTATATGCAAAATATATATACTGTATATAACAACATAGGTTTAATTTTGTGGTTGACATAGTCACATATTATTCGAATATAGGCTAAATGTTGATCATACAAAGATGTAACATAAATAAATTCATAAACAATAACTTTTTTCAAATTTCATTTGATTGACTTACAAGGAAACATTCCCAACATCCCGTCTCCGATGTCGCTGTAATTTGGATATGTATTAACTTATTAAAAAATAAAAGATAAGTGTTTTTTATCAATAGGAAGCATTCTAAAAGGTGAAAGCCATCCTCAAAAATCATTTCTCAGAGCAGTTTTCTATTAATTGAAACTAAAAATATTGTTAGAATACTGCTCTCAAGGGTAATTTTCGAGGGTGACTCACCTCTTAGAAAGCTTTTCCCACCATTAATGCAAAATATTCTTTTATTTGTCAATAAGCTATAACCTATCCAAATTACAGCAAAATTGGAAGCAGAGGGTTGGGAACGTTTCCTTGTTAGTATCAATTACACAGTCAACGTATATATTTCTAAATAATTAAATAAATAATTAAAATTGTTCGTTATTATAATCCCAAGGAACAGGATCCATTTGTTAAAAGCTAAACAAATAACTAACGGTAAAAATAACTTAAACCTGAGAATTAAATTCATAACTTATTTATATTTTAGCGCGTTTTGACTCAGTATGCCATTCGTAGCATATAGCTCTTTAAAGATTAGTAATTAATGCTATTTGTAAATTAAAAAAAAATTTTTTTAATTTGAGCTGGACATATTTTTATAATTTTAAAGGTACTCTTTCCGATAAAGTACTCCAGATTTTTCTAGAAATTCATTAGCTCTGAGAAAACTCAGTCTAAATGAAAAGAACCGTGATTTTTATACACACTTATTTTTTTCAAATCGATCCTCCGTCTACAGTCAACCTGGAACCTCATTAATCCATTAAGTTATTGTGCCATGAAGAAGGATCAGTGGAATGAGAGAGAGCACGGAAGTTCTTTGGTAACTAGTTTTATTTAACTGAACAAGAATACAGGCCACATTGGCGATAACTTTTGAGCGGCGAGGTTTAGGCTTGCGATCGTTGCCATGCTATCCCGTCTCGCGGCCGAGCTCACCGCGCGCGTCTCGAGCGCTTGCTTCCACCGACGTGATAACTGCTGCCGCTTCGTGTCGAGAAGCGGAGATGGCTGAGTCCCCACAGGTACTTCCCCTTTAGTGACTTTTGTGGGACACGCAGGGAATGATACTCACTTCCGCAGGATGTTGGGCATTGACCTAGGCGTTGAGGAGGCCTGCGCCGGAGATGTGTACCGTGCCACCCACTCCTTGACGAAGCTTGCAGCGACGGTTTCAGCGGTAATGTCGGCGAGCGGTATAGGTACTGGCCATCTGCTGTAGTGGTCTATCATCGTCAGGCAGTAGCGATAGTTCCTTATCTGTGGCAGCGTGATGAGGTCTATGTGGACATGCTCGAATCGGTTGTCTGGTATGTTGAATGAGCTGAGCGCTGCACGGTTGTGCCTGCCGACCTTGGAAAGCTGGCAAGGGATGCACGCGCGTGCCCAATTCTTGGCGTCCTTACCGATGAGTGGCCAGGTGAATTTCGTTGTCATCAACCTTGCCGTAGCCCGGGGGCTTGGGTGAGCCAGGAAGTGCAGGTCGTCAAACGCCTTACGACGCAAAGCACGTGGCAGGTATGGCTTGACCACGCCATCTCGGATGCAGCAGGCGAGGTTGACTCCGTCGATTTCGAGCTCTTGCAAGGCGAGCAGACCCTTGTTGAGGTGATACGGAAGCTCGTCGTCCACCAGCTGGGCTGCGGTGATATCACGGGCCAACAAGCCGGAAGGCATGCCAACCTGAATGCCTACGACAAGGTGTCTGCGACGACGTTGTCCTCTCCTTTTACATGATCGAAGGCGACGTTGAATTGCAGCAGGAAGTCGAGGTGCCTCTGCTGGCGAGGAATGGCCTTGCTGGGTGGCTGGTTGCTTGCCTAAATGAGCGGCTTATGGTCTGTTTGGAGTGTAAATACTCGATCTTCCAAAAACCGCTAAAAAAATTTGACAGATGCGTAGGCCGCGAGCAGTTCTCGGTCGTATGTGCTGTAGCATTTCTCGGTTTCGGTCAGCATCCTGGAAAAGAAACCTACAAGGCGTTTGACTCCATCGATGACTTGTTCCAAAGCAGCGCCGAGAGCCATGCCGGAGGTGTCCGAAGACAGCACGAGCTGCGAGTCGGAAGCCAGGAACGAGGTTGTTGTTGCGTTACGGAGGGCTTCCTTGTAGGCAAGAAAGGCGTTCTCATTAGTCGAGGTATACTTGGGCGGCTTGGCTTTCTTGCTCTTTGGCGCGCCGTGAAGAAGGTCGTTCAAGGCACTGCAATGTGCGCCGCCTTGTCGATGCAGTGCCTGTAGTAATCCACCGTACCGAGAAAACTGCGTAGCTCCTGGAAAGTCCTTGGCCTTGGGATGCGGTCGATCGTATCAACTTTACGGGGAGGAGGCCTGAACCCACGCTGAGAAACTTCATGACCGAGGAAGGTGACCTCTTCTTGACCGATTTGGCACTTCTTCAGGTTAACAGTGAGGCCGGACTTGTGCAGAATCTGGAGGACCGTGCGCAGGTACTGCAGGTGCTCCTCGTAGTTCCTGGAGAATATGATCGCGTCGTCGAGATACCACCGGACGAATGGCAGGTCTGGGAATAGCGAATCGTGGAAACGTTGCAAAGTCTGCGGTGCGTTTTGAAGTCCTAAAGGCATAATAATGGTGAACTCGATGAGGCCGAAAGGAGTTGTGACGGCCGTCTTGGCGATATCCTCTGGAGTCATCGGGACCTGATAAAAAGCTTTTTCGATGTCGATCACCGAGAACACGACGCAACCCAGATGGCTGTGCAGCAGATCTGAAATAATCGTCAACGGGAACCGGTCCGTTTCGTTAACGGCGTTGAGGTTACGGTAGACGCCGGGGCTCATTTCCACGAAATGAAGAGGACTGGCCCATTGGCTTGAAGAGTCTCGGACGATGCCTTGGTTAACCAATTCCTTGACGGCCCATTTGGCTCCTTGGAGCCAGGCGCCAAGCAGAGGTCGTGGGTTGCAGAAGACCGGAGCTCCCCTCGTGATGATGCGATGTCTTACCTCGGATCCGCCAACGTTGGCACGATGTGGACTGGAGCGCATCACGTGCGCAAACTCGACGAGCAGCTAATCGTACAATCTCCTGTTGGTTACCTCGCCCCCGCTTAGGCACGGGCACAGGCCCTGCACAGGCATGGCCCTGGACGCTGAGGGACGTCGTTGCGTTGGCAAGGCGCATGTTCTTGAGGTTCACCACGAGGCCCGAGTGGCCCAGGTAGTTGGCTCGGATGATGGTGACAGGGATGTCCGCGATGATAAAAGGCCAAGCTAACTCCCTGTGTAGGCCCAGGTTGAGCGTGAGCATGGTGCTGCGCCCGTATGTAGCGATCGGCGATATGTTTGCCGCGGTGAGGCTAAGTTCTCGCTTAGTGAGGGAACCTAGGGATCTTATTGTCCAACAACGCAATATTGAAACGACAGACCCCGAATCGACCAGGAAGATCAACCCTGAGGTCTTGTCGAAAACATGTAGGCGGTTTTCTGCGGCTAAAACGCTGCCGTGCGCCGCCAGGACGGACGTTAGTTTAGTTTCTATGGGGTTTCTGAAACGAGTAGGGTTGTCGGCAGTTTTCTGCGGCGGTGCCGTAGCGGTAGTGGTAGTAGCATGAGCCAGCCGCCCGCGCCGGCAAAACAGGGCGAGCACCGTGGCCGCGGCTACGGCTACGCCCTCGACCGTACTGTTGCGAGTTTGGCCTCGAGGTGACCACCTGGAGGATCTGGGCACTGTCCGTGAGCAGCTGCGATATGGTGTCACGCAGGGCAGCAATCTCGTTCGCCAAAGAAAAGCTGCATGCTCCTCTACGGACTGATGAGTGTGCGCGCGGGCTTTGACTAACGGCTAACACCGGGGCGAGTGGCAGCTTGTGAATCTTGTCAGTTACCTCAGCCAGTTTATCTAGGGTGGCCTGGCGCATGCACCCGCGATGTGGGTGGCAGCGCGATGATCCACCGAACATGAAGCGCCGCTTTGTCGATACTCTTTCCAGCGAGTCGTCGCATCTCATACAACACGTGCGATGGCTTACGGCCCCCGACCCACACGTCGTTGTAGAGTGTAGGCAGACGTTGCTCCGCCGATTGGCCGAAGCGCGCGATAATCTGCGCCTTTAAATGGCTATACTTGCCGTCTGCAGGTGGCCGCTGGACGACGTCCAGGAGGACCTTGGTCATGGCGGAGTCCAAGGCGGCGACGACGAGTTTGTAATGTGCGTCGTCGGAGGTTACGTTATGGTAAGCGAACATGGATTCCACATGCAGAATCCAGGTGTCCGAGGAATCCCTTCACACCGGGGGCAGTTTGCACATTCCGGCTGCGTTGGCATTATTCGATGCGACCTGGTTCTGCAGCTGCTGGAGCGCCTCTCGTTGAGCCGTCAGCTCCTGCGACGTAATCCCTCCGCCGGCTGCCGTATTTGGTGGCGTACCGTTTATTACAGCGTTTTGCAGTGTGTCGGAAATTGTGGCGTCGTCCATGATTGCACGCGTCTCACTAACACTCGCGATGGTTTTTCACAGGCGGGTGCCGTGCCTGTCCTTTCCTGAGGTTGAGTCACTGCCTTATGTAGCAGCCGGGCGTACGCGCGTGTAATCGGCCGCGAACCTTTGTTTGTAGGCACTGGTATCTGGTA